CAAAAAGAAAAAAGCCAGAAGTGGCGCTGTGGCTCAAGTGGTAGAGTGCTAGCCTTGAGCTGAAGAGCTGAGGGACAGTGCCCAGGCCCAGAGTTTAGGCCCCACAACTGGACCCCCCCCTCCAAAAAAAAAGGATGTAAAGACTCATAAATCAAACTTTGCATTATTTTCTTTCTTTTTTTTGGTCAGTTGTGGGACTTGAACTCAGGACCTGGGTGCTGTCCCCGAGCCTCTCCGTGCTTAAGGCTAGGGCTCTATTACTTGAGCCACAATGCCACTTTGGGTTTTGAGTGGTTAAAAGAGTCTCAATGGTGACTTTTCTACCTGGACTGGCTTCGAACTACAATCCTCAGATCTCAGCTTCTTGAGTAGCTAGTATTACAAGGTGTGAGCCACTGGTGCCCAGCTCCAGCAATATATTTTCATAAAAGAAAAAGAGGCCGGGCACCAGTGGCTCATGCTTGTCATGTTAGCTGCTTGGGAAGCTGAGACCTGGAGGACTGTGGGTCACAGCCAGTCTGTGCAGAAAAGTCCATGAGACTCCAGCTCCAATCAACCAGCAAAACGCTAGACTGGAGGTATGGTTTCAGTGGTAGAGTACCAGCTGTTAGCAAGAAAGAAAGCCAAGAGAGACCCTGAGTTCTAGCTCTGTAACTGGCATGAAAAATTAAAAAATTTAAAGGAAAAAATGGATTATCAACAAGCAGTTTACCTTGAAAACTCGAGGGTAAGACAAACCCAGAAAATGTAGTAATATAATGTAAGTCACAAGATTAACAGATTAATGGGAAAGACAATGTAAAATCCCAAAAGATACAAAAGCAGCATTCAATTCTTCTATTTCTAGCATTTGGCTGGCTGGCTGGCTGGCTGGCTAGGTATGTAGAACAGAGAAGCTCCTAGTAGGGACACCTAAAATTGCTGGGTAAAGTATAAAAATTCAAAAAAAAATTAAGTTGAGTGCTGGTGGCTCATGCCTATAATCCTAGCTATTCAGGAGGCTGAGATCTAAGGATTGCAGATTGAAGCCAGCCAGGGGCAAAAAACGCCCATGAGACTTTTATCTCCAATTAACCACCAGAAAATGGCAATGGAGCTCTGGCTCCAAGTGGTAGAGTGCCTTGAGTGAAAAGGCTCAAGAACAGAGCCTAGGCCCTGAGTTCAAGCATCATGACTGACTTAAAAAAAATTAAAGTATGGATAATCTACAAATAAAGTAAGGAAAATGCATAGGTCAGAGCTATAAGAAAGCCCCAAGTTTGATCTCCTGCTGCCTGGATATGAACAGAGGTGCACCTGGGGAGAAGCATGTGGGAACTGAGGTCAGGCAGGTGGGAGGAGACAGGAGCAGTGTGCTGGAGAAACTCCCCGCTAATAAACCTGCAGGGCAGTGTTTCCAATGTCCTACACTCACAGCCAACTAAACTAAAACCTGTCCACTGCAGACTGCCTGTCTGAGCCTTGGCTCTAGGCTAAGAGGACAAGAACCTTGAAGGTAGCCAATACTTACCATCCAGTAGGCAAGGGTACCTGGTGCCAGGCCCCACAGCCCCAATGTTGGTTTTAAAGGCTCCAGGCAAGAATGAATGCAGGATGAATGGCCCCAAATTGGCACTGGCACCAGGTGGCCAGCAGAGGCACACACATTCTCAGAGGATTGCACTCCAAGTACAGCTTTTGGCTGGGATTGTAGCTCAGTAGCAGAGTCACTGATTAACATGCACAAGACCCTGGGTTCCCAGTACTGCAAAAAGAACTCCAAAACACACTTTTCAAAAACAGAATGACAAGTCACCGTGTCAGTGAGATAACCAGCCACATCCTACAAAATCAGTAGAAATCAAGGGGCTTGGAAGGTGGCTCAGTAGTAGAGCGCTTGCCTTGCATGCCTGAGGCCCTGGGTTCGATTCCTCAGTACCACATAAGCAAAAAGAAAAAAAAAGCTGCAAGTGGCACTGTTGCTCAAGAGCTAGAGTGCTAGCCTTGAGCTGAAGAGCTGAGGGACAGCGCCCAGGCCCAGAGTTCAGGCCCCATGACCAGACCCCCCCCCAAAAAAAAAAAACTCAGTAGAAATCACAAATTGCAAAGCAGAATCCAACAAATTCTGGATATTGGAATAACATCCCTGAATAAAAGATCAAGGAAAAAGGGGCAAAGGTGATATTCAAATGAGAACACTGCTGATCTCCAGAACTTGGGGGCAACATCAGTGACTGACGCAGGAGAAAGAAAAATAAATTCATAACTAGACACATGGCAGTAAAATTACAGGCAATATTGTCACCGAAGACTGTATAAAACCACCTCATCTCTACCAAGATACTAGGAGAAATGAAAAAGGAGTCAGTTTAGATCCACTACGCCTGTAATCCTAGCTACTGAGGAGGCTGAGATCTGAGGGTCACGGTTCAAAGCCAGCCCAGGCAGGGCAGGAAAGTCTGTGAGACTCTTATCTCTAATAAACTAGAAAACCGGAAGCAGCGCTGTGGCTCAAATCGTAGAGCACTCGCCTTGAGCTGAAGAGCCGAGGAATAGAGCCCAAGTCCAGAGTTCAACCCCCACGACCAACCAAAAAAAAGAAAAAAGATGAAGAGGACATTATAGCTAGGTACTCATGGCTCACGCCTGTTATACTACCTATGCCACAGGACTGAGATAGGAAGATAGAGGTTTGAAGCCAGCCTGGGTTAGAAAGTGTTATCTCCAGTTAATAACCAAAAAGACAGAAGTAGAGCTGTGGCTTAAGTGGTAGCGTGCTTGCCTTGAGCAAAATGTCTCAGGGACAGCGCCCAGGCCCTCAGTTCAAGCCCCAAGACACTATAAATGTTATTCTAAATAATCTAAAATTTCTGAGGGAATGAACAAATTCCTAGAAAAACTACAACTTGACAAAACTGACCAAAGAAAAGCCACATAGTCTTAAAACTAAAATAAATGAAAGCAGCAGTCAATAAAAAGCTAGGAGGCTTCTCGGTGTTTTCCACAACATTCCAACATTACATAAACTCTTGGAGTGAATAAAAAGACAGGGAATACTTTATAACTTATGTCTTTAATACTCAAATCAGAGGAAAACAGTCTGAGAAAGGAAAATTGTAAGTCTTGTCCTACTCATGAACAGATTCATGTCTGCATAATCATCATAATAATCAGCTCAATAAATCTGGCAATGTACACAAACGATCGATCACAAGTGGGTTAGGTCTATTCCAGGATCCTAAGGCCGGCTCAACTTTAGAGACTAACATATTAGCAAATTAAAGGGAGAAAAAGTTTGACATTTTAATAGATACCAACAAAACAAAACACAACACAACACAAGAGAAATAGCTGTCAATAAAATTCTGTGGTCACTCCTGTTTAAACAGCTAGTCAGTCAGATGTGAGGTCCTTGAGACTCTCCAATTAATCAG